GGTTGAGACATTTTCGGCTACGCTCCCGTCACTGCGAAGTTGCAAATGATTGAAATTGGTAGGAAAAGCCACAGACAAAGAGGGCAAAAGGAAACTGGAGCGATCCGATTAGTTGAAACGGGTGGTTCTTGTAGACCACGGGGCGAAAAGATGGACTCACTATAACGTTTCTCGTATGGTTTGCTGCTAGTCTATTACTTACCTCCTTAGTCCATTACAATCATTTCAATCGATAGAATTGTTCCATTTTCCCTTTGTTCCTTTTTTGTCCATCGCTGTGTCTATCCATTACAATAATCTGCCCGCAGAACGACCTTAGCTCTTCGCTCTTCTGTCGCGACGAAAGGACGTGTCCCAATTTCTATGAGTCTTATTTTACATATAAAACCATGCTTTCTGGGGCTCATGTTGAAACCGAGATGGGCCCTTACGTGCAAGGAGCGACGAACTGTAAGAGTTACTCGCGAATATTGATTTTTGACAAAACCTCGATTGACTCAAGTTCCACGCAAAATACCAAAGGGCAGGTGGTTGGATCGCGAATGGTCTGCACTTGCAGAGACCCCATTCTTTGGCGGATAATTCGTTCCTGGTTGAGCCCGAGCCGGGCATTAACCGGAGCCAGCGCGGAGAGACGCGTCCGATGCGACGCGCAGATTGAGGCCTCGAGCCCAGACGAGCGTGGGCTCGCAGTCGTCGGGCGCCGCGACGCCACTTCAAGCGCGCGACGCCGCACAGGGGATTGAGTCAATCACAAAGCTCAGACATGAAATTTTTTCACTCAAACTGCATATTGGTCCAAGCTATAGGAGAGGTCGGACAAAATTTGGAAACTTTAAACGCTTATAACTCCGTTTATACGAAACTTTGAGGTTCTAAAAGTGGTTCTATTGGTTTCCTCGTAAAATTCTCTTTCAAAAGCACGCCCCTTGAAGTTTAAAATGTGGCGAAATAAACATCGAAATTTGCAGTTTGGGTGAAAAAAATTCATATACGAGCTTTCTGATTGACTCGATTCTCTGTGCGGCGCACAGTGGATCGGATCAATTGGAGGGGTCGGACATGGAATTTTTGACTAAAACTGTACGTTTTCATGCTAATTTCGCCACATTTTAAACGTCAATGGGTGCTTTTGAAGGCGAATTTTACGAGAAAACCAATGGAGCCACTTTTAGAACCTCAAAATTTTGTATAAACGGAGTTATAAGCGTTTAAAGTTTCCAAATTTCGTCCGACCTCTCCTATAGCTTTGGACCAGTGTGCGGCGACGCACGCTCCTAGCGGATCGCGTCGTTAATGGCTCCGACGAGAAGGAGATCCACCATCTTCATTAATGGTCCTTTCGAAAACTTTTCTCCTCCCCGCGACCTCTCACGAAAAAAAAGAAGAAAAAACGAGACGGGATTTTTTCTTTTCCAAGCATCAATTTGTTCGCTTATCGCTTTCTGAAGTGTCATAAGCCACCCACTCGAAAACCCGGGCTGGCCCGCCGCGCTTCAGTGATGGCCAAACTGGTTTTTTCGTTCGCCCTGAAAAGCGTGGAGCCCGGAACAGCGGTGTCGTTACTGCCGAGGAAAACCCAATTTATGTAGAGGTTACGATCAGTGGCGTGGCGTGATTTGCGATCTATCGATTGATCGACCAATTAAACCTATGGATAAGTATCGATAAACAGAATGTTCGCAGCGAACACCTTAATAATCGATTATTTACCACAGCTTCAAGTGGGGAAATATCGATAGATCGCAAAGCACGCCACGCCACGGGTTACGATCAGAGATACGGAACATATTTCAAAATCCCTCATTTTGCTATTCTCCCTACGGTGTAAAAGTTACATTCGGGAGGTAGGGTGATTCGTCATGGTTATTGGCGCGGTCGGACTGGCGTGCGATATATGGCATCGACTATGAGAAAAATCTCGGCTGATTTAGAATTTTTTTGGCCACTAAAGAACAACGTATGAGTCTAGAGAACCATTCTAAACCAAAAAATTGAAAAACGCAGAGAAATGAAAGCAGGATCCTTTTTAGAAAAAAAAAAACCTCTTCTTCCACACAGTTTTGATTTCTGATTGGTTTTTTCGTAAAGTAATAATAATTGGACTGCATTTTGCAGTTTGGAACTATAAATTCTGGCTTCTTCTGGAAAAACACTTATATGCATAGGGAAATTAATTACACATACGTTGTTTTTAAACCGGGCTAGAATTTATAGTTCCATATTGCAAAATGTAGTCCAATTATGACTTCCAACTACTTAACCAACAGAATTATTCATTACTCTTTAAATGCTTCGGATTTTTTTTCCGTTGGGCGAGGTGTAAAAGAAAAAAAATTGATGTCGAAACTTGAGAATCATTGACACAGTAACTTGTCGGTTTTTGGATATCTTAATTATGATCATTCGACCCTTTCATTGGAACTTTTCGTTTTCACTCGTCCCAAAGAGAACGCACGACAAAAGCACAGACGGCGACAATTATGAAGCGCCAGTGCGTGAGTTAAACTGCCGGAAAACAGAAAAAAAGGAAGACAAAAACGAAACAAAAATCGCCGTTTATTAATCCGAGATACGGCCGTGCTCATTCTAGTTTGAAAAAAAAGTTAAAATGATCGTAAATAATTCTATCTCGCCGGGCACGCGCAATTTTGAACGAGGGAATGATTATACGCACCGAAGTCCATTTCTTTTATTGCGTTTATAACAGCTTTGACCTTTAATCGCTCCCCCGTCTGCGAATGAGGACAAATCCGTATCGCGACGCGACAGAGCGGACCCGGCAAAATTGTTAAAGTGTCTACCGCTGCGGGAAAATTCGATACACGCCCCCGCACCGACGGTTTTCCTCTACCGGAAAAAGTTTCGGCGCCAAGTCTTTCCCTCCGACAGTTTTCCTGTGGCTATCTCTCGCTGGAATTCCTGCGAGAGACAAGGATTCTTGGAGAACACTTTTGCAAAAAGCATGGTGGTGTCTAATTTATTAAAAATTGACCTCCAAACCGGGGCCACTCTTTTTTTCTCGCAAATTATTACTTAACATCACCCCTGCCTTCTTTCCTCTCTGAGCCACAGGCGGATTCAAGGGGGTGGGGGTAGTGGTGTGGGGAGCCCGTTCGCTCGAAAAATGGGCAAACGAAAAAGGGAAAAAAAAGAAAGAAGGAAGTAACGGGGGGGAAAAGGAAGGAAGTTGTATTCGGTTAGATGCTTCAAAATTTCGGAAATTTCTGGGAGACGGGGGGGATTTCTGACGAAATCTTCCGGAACTCCCTTAGCGCCCCTTTCCCTCCCCCGTTCTAAGCGTCTGGATCCGCCTTTACTCTAAAGTCTAAACAGAAGAGAGACATTAGTTCGACTGCATTTTGCAATTTGGAACTATAAATTCTGGCTCATCTGAAAAAACACTTATGTGTATAAGGAAACTAATGGCACATACGTTGTTTTTAAACCGGGCCAGAATTTATAGTTCCAAATTGCAAAATGCAATCCAGTTGTGCTTCAGCTAATACGCTTACCACATCCATATGCATGCACACTTCAATATCGGAGGATGCGACTATTTGAACTCATGGGAGCTGATTTTGCCTAGTCGTCGAAATGAAGGCGAAAAAACTGGCCGACCTATCTCGATGCGTGGAAATAGTCGTGCGCTTAGGGTTTGACATGCATAACTCCGCTTAGTTACCTTTCTTCTTGTTGGAGTTTTGGGAATAAAGGGAGAAATGTACTTACGAAATTTCTCTAGCTGTGGTATTTCCAATATGGATGACGCTTCCTCTGCTACGACCCGACCTCTCATGTCTACCCTAATGAAATTACTGCTGCATTCACTATACAGACGCACCGATCGGGGCTCAGCGCCACAGCTCAAAACCTGAAAACAAAATTTTCAAAATGTCAAGACTTTTCCTTTCAATGGGTGCCTTGAACCTATGGTACTCCGCTCCCGAACGCAGGAAATCTACATGCGCCCCCCTAGCTTTTTTCCAAATTTTGTTCCCCTCCTTTTAGTTTAAGTCCGGACGCCGCATGGTGAATCGAGACAATTAGAGAGGTCGGACATGAAATTTTTGACTGAAACCGCAAATTTTGATGTTTATTTCGTCACGTTTTAAATTTTAGTAGATGCTTCTAGAGGGAAATTTCACGTGAAAACCAATGGAACCACTTTTAAAACCTGAAAACTTTGTATAAACGGAGTGATAAGCGTTGAAAGTTTCCAAATTTTGTCCGACTTCTCCTACAAACTCGATGCACCGTGCGCCGCCCCTATCTCAACCCTATAAAGCTGATTTGATGATCGTTTAAAACCTCCATGAAGAACATTGATAATGATTTGTTTTTCTTAAACATTTTGGGGGGAAAAGGCTAAAAAAAAACTCAATATTATAGGCACCTCGGAGAAAAAGTAGAATCAAGCCCAATGATTAAAAAACCATAACGGATTTGAGGCTACTTTTCTGCGGAACTATACACTCGCTGTTACTAAAATTATTAATTTAATTTGTTGGTTTTCATTCTGTAAGAATTGTAGTCCCATTTGTATCTGGACCGCCAGAAGAGGCGAAATGAAAACACATCTGAAAGAAAAGTCATTTTATGCTGCGATTAAAGACGCACAATTTATAGCCCATCAATTTTTTCGTATTTTCCAATATTATACACTCAGAGGGTTAGCAAAAAGCGTAGCAATGCACGATCAAGCCCCAGACGGACTTGCATGTATCACTTCATGTTCGCAATAATTCAGAATCAATAAAAAAATACTTTTGAAAAAGCAATTGAGATGAACTATTATATAAATCAATCGCATAGCTCTCGCTGGTAGAGTTTCAATATCCAGAAGCAGCCGGCGACTCGCGCGGAATATTTTTGGATTTCGGCTGTCATAACTCGCAGCGAGATAATTTAGTTAAGCCTTATTTTTCGCCGACTTCCGGCGCGTACACAATCCCGCGATACAAATACATCCCCCGCAACAATTGATGTATCTTCAAGCCGGGATCTCCTGCCAAATGCCCCGTTCATAAACCGGAACATGTTCCCGAGTCTCGCCTCCTTTTTTCTCCGGCTTTTCGGGAAAACGTCCACACTCGAGCTCGAAAGCCTGATAAGAGGGCTCTTGGCTCCGTCGAGTGACATTTGAATGAAAGCCAAAAATAAGCCGCTCAAAAGATCCTTGCGGTCGCCAATATGCATGCGTAACTTCCGCAAGAAACGGGAAATTGGACATCGTCAAGCGGAAGGAATCAATCCAAAATATCTGAATGAGCCATTTTTATGGTGGATTCCGGTACGAATGCGGGCTCATGTTGAATCTGGGGTGGGATTTTTTCGCTTAACGCAGCCCGCAATTCATCTCGATAAAGCCTCCCTTCGGAATAGTTGAATATCACACACCCCCGCACCCTTCCACCCCCGCGACCATCCATGCGGAACCTCGGTTTGATGGAGCTGCATATGTTCTGCCAGACGGCATGTTCGCTGAAAACCAGAATCTAAGTGGATGCAGGAATAAAATTGAAAGATAGCGATATATGTCCTTCGCGAAAGAGCGTGTTTTTCAATGACTCGGTTGCGCGGTGATGATGAACTTAAAACGCACCATTTGAATTGTAGAGGCTTTCATATTAGAGGTTGATATTTTCATGGTAAAGAATTGTTATTATTTGGTAAATTATATTGTTGGATATTCCTCTATCCTGTCTATACTGATGAATATGGCTCTCGCCCAGCAAAAGGTCCAAAGCATGTCGGTACAATGCTCCTCAGGCCGCAAGGAAAGCCTATGTTTTCAGAAAAATGTCTGCTCAATAAGTCATGCATAAGAATCTGCAGTTCATGAGTACTTTCAATTGAGCCCATCAGAGTCTGATAGAGCCAAATTTTATTTATTTATTTTTTTAAAAGAAAATCGAATCTTCATTGAAATTCTTTTTGAGTTAGCATGAATTCCACCCGGTTTGTATTTACAAACCCTTAAGATGAGTGGTGAATTGCTGATAGACGGAAAAAGAGGAGGCGTCATTGGGGGAGGGGGGGGGGGGGGGGAGTAGTTATTTCAGATTCATTAACTTAAATACGGAAAAAGGACGAGTTGCGAGACCTCTGCATACATTTTATTACCGAATACAAGTATGACCAAGTCATCAACGAATTTCATAGATATCAACGAACGGAAATGTCTATTAGTAAAAAAAAAAGTTTAGAACCGAATGATCCTGTAAGAAAATGCTGATACAAATTTTTCAACACAATTTTCAGTATGAATAAGAAAACGGATAGAATCGATAGAAAACTTGTATCTATTCTCTTAATTGATACCATAGTTCCTTAACTAGTCTATGAATTATGTAGGAGGCAAAAAGGTGAGATTAAGACCGCCTTCGCCTGATATAGGTTTTCAACAATCGCGCAATTCTTGAAGGACCGACAAAAGAGCTTCACCGCAGCAATTAATGCGTGTACAAAATGCGTGTTTACAGCTGTATAAAAAGGAATTGATAGTATTAGCTAATTTATCTCAGTAATTACTTAATTATAATGATGTTATCCGAGGACATTTATTGCATGTAGAGTTTTATTAGAGCCATAAACGGTGGCGCGCGATTTGGGTGTTCGGGGCCGAAGTCACGGTGTCTAGCTCTTTTTCACACTCGTTCTCAAAGATTCACAGGTGGTAATTATGTTCCTTCATGATGTAAGCGCAATAAAGAGTCTGCATTAGCGCCTCAGGAGTTTCCAATTTATGCACCTTTCTATCCCTCAGAATTAAATTCAGGTGCAACGGCATTCGAATGGAGCCACCTCTTTCAGAGAGGTGGACCTAACCCACAGAAGAAGTTCATACGCATGCGCATACATTCCATGAAGAATCGAGGATGCGAAATTACGGAAAACTCGGTCCAATTACAAAGAATGTGTAACGTCGTGAGCCGGAATACAGGTTATTTCAGTTTTAACGTCCTAAAGATAAGTTAAATTAAATCAAACACGATTCGCTATGCCATTCTAAACCGTCAATGTGTTGAAAACTCACATGAATTTTTTAACCACTGAGGATTTATTGTTTCTTTAGAATATGCTGAGCGGTTTCGAAAATACTAAGATCTTTCCTGTATTTAAAAGAGATACTATTTTTCGCTATTTCTCGTGTACTCATTTCTCTATTCCCACCTCGTCAAACCGTGGAGAGGAAGACGTATACAGAAATATAGTAGGAGCATCCCCTCAGAAAATGTCCCAGTTGAGGATACAACTATATCAGCACGCTCGTCGTGAAATGGCATGCTGGAGATTGAAGGCGCTTTTTCTGTCGCGAGCTGCGGCTTCCATAATTCTGCATTATACAGAGTACTGTCCGAATTCTAACGCTTAATCACAGTGATTTTGTCTATCTTACTAAATGTAAAAAATTTGGATCATGTACTTGCAATTAACCAACGTTTTTAAACTTTTATTCTTCAAAATGATGTTAGTAAAAAGAACACCGTGGAACAAGGAACTGAAATTTTGGATGCAATACTTGAACCGCGTGATTTGGGTGCATGAGAAAATGTCCTTCCTTTCACAATTATTATAAAAATAAAGATACTTCACTCACCATCAACAAGCAGATTAAGTTCGCAGAGACAGCAAGCTTATATAACCTGAAACACAAAAAGAAAAAATAAATTACTACAAAGTTAAAAAAGTATAACTTTAAACTCTAGATCCACATCGTGTTTTTCCACAAAATCTCACAAATATCAGTGGACAAGATGCGAATGCATACGTTGGCAGAGTCCTAATAATTTACATCCATTCAACTATTGTATAAAATAGGGGAAAATTATATATCCGTAGAGGAATAACACGAAAAAAATAGAAAGGAGTTTCGAAAAGGTAATGATTGCGTATGTTACGTTTCGTGATTACGTTGCTTCTATGTCCAGTCATTTTGGCTTACTACTTATCTACTGGATTGCTGCATGAGAGTGTTTCAGAGTAGAGGAGAAGAAAAGGAACAAATATTGCATCGGCTGGACGATGTCTCGAACAAAGAGTCGAAGGACCGATCAAACCGTCATATCTTACAGGCTCTTTCAAATATCCGTCCACAATCATAAATATTATAAATGGAGAATTTGCAAGGGTCTGAAATTTGATAAATTTCGTGTTTAAGTGGATTCTACTGAGTGAACTGAACACTGAGATACCCTTCATTCATAAATTGAGCAATTATTAGAGGAGAAATGACAAAAGAACTGATTCTGCTAAAATACATGTGTTTAAATGGGAAATGCCGCCAGATGACGTCACTAGGCGGTGCATTTTCTCTCTTTTAAATCTATTTTTAAAGGATTTTCCATGTCAGAAAAAATTACAAAAAATACTGTGAAATCAGCTCTTTAAGCACTTTCAGATGAAGCAATAAAAAATTTGCGTGCAAATTCTCCATTGACCAAATAGCAGAATGCAAGGCAAGGGCAGACCACAAATGCCCAGTTCTGCCACAATGGTCGTCTTTGTAGTGCGCTATCAAAATGTTTGCACTCGAGCGACAGACAAAAGTCAGAGCTGGAAACGGCCTGAAAGTCTAACGATAAGGAGCTGAAAATGAGGGGGTCCGTTGCAATAATTCCTGGACTGATGCTGTTTCTGTCAGATCGAGGGTTTCATCCGTGCGGCTGACACGGTGATTCGATCCGGCTACGACCGAGTGAGTGTTCTCTCCGCTCTCTTCGGTCCTTCACTGCCATGCTAAGGAAGAACGCCGTATGAGCCTTCAGGCGTTGCCAAATTTCCTTTGACGAATCAATAATTTTCCAGAAAATTTGTGAATATTTTTCTCCCAATTTTTCAGGTGATTTTGCTCGCAATTTGACCAAAAAAGTCTGACAATTTTGAGGGAAAATATGGACAATTTTCCTCCAAAATACACATTTTATCGGTGAAAATTTGGCAACTCTCGAATTTTCATCCGGCGTTTTTCCTTAGCACGGCAGTTCAGGTCTCGGGAGTGCGACGCTTGAGCGTATTTCTGCTAAAAGGAACTATGTTGCACGGAAACCTTAAGCACATAGTGCCTTTTAGTATAGATACGGCGTTCATTTATCAAAATGGATCTCACGCAGGTATGGGCCATTTCGTTACTATTCCGGGCTTTGGAGTGAGTGTGGCTTGCTAACGCGTCTGAAAAGGTCGCACGCGTTGCATACTTGTTGTGTCGGCGCAGGGCACGTCCTGTGCGAGAAATTATGGCTAAAAACATCAGAGTGTTGTTGCTGGAAATGAGTGGCTTTCGCACCTCGTGCATTAATTTTTCTTCTCCAATTTTAAAGAGTACATTGGTTGCGAAGGATCGCGTCAGGAATGAGACGGTACGGGAGATCATGGATGCCAAGCAGACCATCGTGCATGACATTATGACGAAACAACTCATTTGGTATGGTCATGTCCAGAGAATGGTAGGAGACAGGTTGCCGAAGAAGGTCCTTGACTGGGTTCCTCCTGGGAGAAGACGCAGAGGGCGCCCAATTAAAGGTTGGAGGGAAGGGATTGAAGCGGAAATGTTAAGGTGCTCAATCCCCCAAGATTTGTGGTTTGAAAGAGAGCAGTGGAGGTTAGGAGTCGTAGAGCGCGAGGGAGTGCTGTAAAGCGACTTGAAAGATTAGCTATTATCAACTGTTTGAGGGCAAAACAGAAGAAAATCCAATAAAACTTTTATTATGTGATACCATAATTGCGCCATTCTTGGGCATTTTATTTCGACGTATCTCTGCGGAACGGAACTATGTGCATTGAGACATGAGCCCTGAGACCTATCAGAATATATGCATAGCAGGGCTCACGTCATAATGCACATAGTTCCGTTTGGCAGAAATACGTCCATTTTAAGACCAAAAAAGACCTCTCAGGGAACTTTTCTCCTTAAAAGGATATCCGCTAAAGGGATAGATTGCATAAATGACAAAAATTCAAAGTGGAGAAAGAATAATTTTAGCATGAATATAGCCTTTAAACTGTGTTCTTAAAAATGAGGTCTACGGAGAAATAAATCTTCAAACGTATTCTTCTAGATTCAGAATTATTCCGACTTGGTACTTCATTCCTTAAACGCAGTTCGTGTAATTTTACTCGTTTTCAACGCTAAAAAGGACGTATTTAAATCAAAAGGAACTATGTCTATTCTGACATGAGCCCTCAGATCCATAAAAATACATAAGTATGACAGGGATCATGTCACAATGGAATTCCTTTAATGGGGTTCCTTTTGATTTAAATACGCTTAACTTACAAATTAACGATTTCCATTTTCGACGTGACGCTCCAAAAAGAGACAACAGTGCTAGGAGCATTTTGAGCCGTTTGATTGGTTTCAACCCCGCGCCTCATACTCAGCCCAGCATCAAAATTGAATCGGTAGCCATCAAAACCTCCCATGCCCACCATCGGATGAGCCGCGAAATACAAGCGATCTAACGGACTCTAAAGCTCATCCGAAATGGAGCATATCCCGTTTACAACACCTCATTCTCTCCTCGCCGTAAATCTTGGCCCTGGCCCCGATCCTGACGGCGGCGCGCAATTAGCGAAAAATATCATTGTTGCTACCCCGGAAACAATGCGGGAGGCTGAGTAGGACCGGACCCTCATCGGCGCAACCATCGTTGCCAAATAGTACCTAAAAACAGCATTTCCCCCGATTTAAACCCATAAAAAATCCATATTTTCGCACAACCTGGGCGGTAATAACTATCACGTGACAAAACCCCGTATCTACCCTGCGTTTTACATTGGAGTTATGTGGTTTTCGATGAGTGCACTCGAGCGCATCCCGGCGTTTTCAAGGTGCTCGACCACGATGACGCTCGCTTTTACGGGCGCGGAGGTGATCCTTTCCCTCATCCCTTAATTCCTGGGGCCCTTTCAACGCCTCTCCTCGCTCCTTTTGAAATCGGCGAGGATTCAAGGGAATCGAATTATGCGCTTTAATTCTCCTCGTCTCCCTACTGTTTGTCTGCGCTGCGGTTGCGCTGCGGTGGCGCGGCGAGGCGGGTGTTTCGATGTCTTCTCTGCGCAGGCGCGTGGGAGCTCGGATTATTAAAAGCGGAGGATGATGCTTTGAATTTTGTTAATTGGTTCGTCGAGCGCGGGCATGGATGTGCGCATTAGTGGTGTTGTAAAAAGGAGGAATGGATTGTTGCAAACTTTTGCTGCACTGGAAAAGAAGTCTCGTGGATCCAGAGTCCAGACTCTGAAAAAAATTTGACAAGGAAAAATATTTTTAATTCAATCGGATTTTTGCTTGAATCGAGAGCCAAGCACTATGATTTCAGCTAGTTTTCTTGCGATTCGGGTGAAAATCCGTTTGAATCGAGAGTATTCATTCTTGTCGACTTTTTCAAGAGTCTGGACTCTAGATGCAAGAGCCTTATCCAATGTGAAGCGAAAAGAGAAGTTACTTTATTGATTCTCTTGAGAAGGAACGTAGGTAATTCCATTCAAATATTGCACAACTGACTCTAACTATATAATGTTTTACAGCGGGCTGATTATTGAAATTGATGGACGAAGCTATAGACAAATAAGACAAAAGGAAATTGTTGGTTTACTTCTGAGAGGTTCACTTTTAATAGCCTGAGGGAGCAATTAATGATGGGGTAACTATATAGTATCTTGTGTCGGTTTCCGTTAGTTAGTCCATCACTTATCTCCACAATTACAATCACCAATAGGATCGCTCCGTTTGCCCTTTGTTTTCTTTGTCTATCAATTTGAATAATCAGCCCGCAAGAATGCGACTGTGGAGATTTTAAAAAAAAATTGCAGATTTTTTAGCGTGATCTCAAGAAAATTCGGTGAAATTTTCAGTTATAAAGATTTGCTCCGTAAAATTACAAATCCACTGTGCCAGTGCCATATTAATATCATTCAAAAGGTGTTCTGTTAACAAACAACATTGATTTTTTTAATTAGACGGGTGCAAGTATCGATGAGATCTGGTCCACACTGATCATACGACCGTTACGAGACATCCATACAACCTGGTTGTTTTCTCGCGTTCAAGAGAGGCTCGGCGCGAAAGAAGGAGCATTCTCCCATTTCGCCGAATGGTGCGGAATGCAGAAATCCAATATATCGCGGAGCCCGTCAAGGTAGGCGCGGGGTGTCGCGTCGCACGTGCTGGAGTAGCTACACGTGGTGAAGCACCGCTAAGCATTTCGCCCTCCCTCGGTCAAAACAACCCAACTCCGTATTCACTCGAGCCCCGGAAAGCATGGAGTTATACGGACCCTAGGGCTCATCTCGGAGTGCGGATACGCGTTTGAATCGGGGGAGCGACGATTTGTGCGCGGTGTCTCGGAACCGTGCAACAGGTGCAACTATCTCTAAAAGTGTAACACTATATCTTATTGCGTGCAACCGAGACGCGCCCTGCACGCTCCGAGACGAAGGAGCATCCAGGGTTTTCATAATTCTCACCCCCCTCCCCCTCCCTTCACGACGTGGTGCAGCTCCGGAGCTTATGCCACCTACAAATTATTCCCTGCCGTTGCCGCGAGGTTGGTCTTTTCTTTCACTTTTCTTCGTGTCTTCGAGGATTACGCGAGCCGGGTCGAGCTTTGTGCGAGTGCGTGAGAGGGGAATTGAGACGAAACGGCCG